ATATCTGTATTTTCGCGATACATTTTAAAGAATCTGATCAAACATTTAATTGTAAAGTCGATGAAAAAACATATCTTGTAGTTTGACTTTTTGAAGGATTTCGTCATGAGCTGACATCAGTTAGATAACACAACTGGTACATCTGTTTCGTCCTGATTTAGAACTCTTAACGGAACATACCCACCGAGGTTCAAAATCAGAACCTTCCGGTTACAAGACAAGCTCCTCATCCAGTGGCATAATGGTCCATGAGCTCACCCTGTAACCAGAAGGTCATGGGTTTGAACTCTGGCGGCCTGTGCCTACCGATGAAGAGCATTAAACCAGGACGAAACAGCTCTTCAATACTCACAGGATTTCCAGTGGTTTTCTAACAGATGCTAGCTCATGATGAAATATTTCGACCAATCAAGAAAACTACAAAAACCAATACTTAAAAATGTATTCTAATTGTTTTTCATTTGCTTTTCCTTGAAAGAAAGAATCATTATTAATATTATTAGAAAGAATTATTAATATTTTGTACTGACAACGTCCATTTGACGTTTGAAGGTGAGCCCTTTCGATACGTAGATGATGTTACTAAGCGTCGACCATTAGCACCTTTGTTATGTATGTCCTATGTCGAAAATTGTCCCTTGTTTTAATTTCTAAAGCGCCCTTTTATAGGAGATATGTAGATGATATTATTTTGATATGTGATGATCATGAAGATGCGAGTCATCTATTGGACAGACTTAACTCCGTACAGAATCGCATAAGACTAACATGCGAGTAAGCAAATCTCAACCAGCTTGCATTCTTAGACACACTTCTGAGTTGGAGAAACGATAGTCCAATAAAACGATCAATTTACAAAAAGCCTACTTGGACAGGGCAATACTTAAATTTTCACAGCTTCTGTCCCCTACAGTATAAGAGAGGCTTAGTTAAATGTTTATTTAAGAGGTTTCAGTGTATTGGCACAGGTGATAATAAATAGAAGGAAAACAAAATACTGATGAATACTCTTGTTGGAAGCGGATATCCTTTCAAATTTTTAAACAGGTGTAGAAGTCGTTTAGTCTTAAAACCTACAATCTGTTACGCCGATAAGAAAAATGTCTTCATCAAATCACCATGAAATGGGTGAATAAATAGTAGGATTTTGAGACAGAGATTAAACATAGTCATCTGTAGGACCTATATGCAGCTCGTCCTGTAGTTATGGAAAAAGCCAAAAGTATGATCCCCTACAAACCTCAAAAGTGCACAAGCGATTATATCACATCCCATACTATCCACCAATTTACTTGTCTGTGGACACACATGCATAGGGAGGAGTAATGTCACTTTGCATTTAAGGGTGCGAGAGCATATTCCGAAATGGTTAGAAAGACTGATGAACTTTAGAAAATCCATAAATGCAGGTGGCAGACAACTGACTTCGTCTGCAGCCAAACATCTAGTAGACATGAACCATAAGATTGATGTGAATACAGCTTTAAAAGCTATAAATGTTCAAGGGTGCCTGGTGAAATATGCTAAGGCTATAGCTATTAATGGACTTAATCCCCTTCCATGTATATAAAAAAACAATTTATTATTACTCTTTACCTACCTTTGTAATCCTTATCTTATGTTGTTTTAATTATTCTTTTTATACTTAAAAGCGTGTTTTAACTATGTATGCTTTATTTGCCCTCTATTTTTCATATAAATTGACTTGACAAGCAAATGTAAGATCTGATTCTTCGAAATGTATCGCATGAATATATCACATTTATCATAGCTTTTTACCAATTTTAATCACCATTGTATTCCACTATTCATACAAGTTCACAAATTTATTCATACTGTGAGTCTGTTTCAGATTGTATAAACTATAAAGTATTACTAAAGTGATGCAATCTGAGTAGTACTTTAGGGCAAAACAAACATAAATCTTTCATCCTGAAGTGTAGCAGTGATGATTTCTGAGAAATTGGTATAAGAATAATTTACTTTATTCCAAAAACAGTACTTATAATACAGAATGGAATTCTCAGCATTAGTCACAATATTGCATCTGGTTTACTTCAAATATAAATAAAATTTAAATTTAAAATAAAAGTAACCAGAGGAATTTGTCCTCGTTTATTATATAAAGTCAAAAATATTCTAAGCACGAATTGAGATCATTAAATGTAATAATAATAACAGTGAGTTTGTTTCAAACAGTATTGTCGATTCAGTTTGGACATTTTAGCCTGTTATTATAGAGTATTGAATCTAATGTTCTGTTGATGTAGTATAGTGAGGGGAAATACAAGATTAACAGTGGTAACACAGCTAAAACGGTGTTCGCACTTATGAAAAATAAATAAATAAAAACAAAAAATTGAGAGGATTATAAATATAAGGAATACAATAACAATAAAGTTTTGGTGCTGTAAAGGTGGAATATATGGTTTATTTAGTAGTGCAAAGAAGGTTAGTTAGATCATGCCTAACACCACGCCTAACACAAGTACGTGCTAAAAATGATATAGTGAAATGTTTTTACATAGACGTACGTGCGTAAATTCTTCTAAAAAGACTTCTTGTTTTACCTGAGGAGACACAAGGCTGGAGCTGCAGGTAGAGTGGGTGCTCAGAGTCTGACGAGATTCCTTTAGCAAATTTGTTACATGACATCAAGTGCCTATCCGCGACAATGTCAACAATATGGCCCAATGGGATACCACTCGTCCTAGTGACAGTCTTCAGAGTTCTACGAAGCATGACATAGTCTTTTTTAAGCAATCCAGGAAAGAATAAGGGTGAACAGTAAAGAAGAATAGGTAAAATACGCGAGTTAACAAACTGTAAGAGGAGGGTTTGGGTTATGGCTGAGTGCCTTAACTTCTTAATATAAAAAGTTAGACGAAATATTCTTTTAGAAATCGCTAAGACATGGGAAGACCAGGATAGGTCAGAAGAAATAATTAATCCAAAATACTTAACTTCAGACTTGATTTCTATATCAGTGTCATCAATTTTGCAAGGGTTATAGGAACCAACAGCTTCATTTAACTTTCGTTTACATCGGAAACTGAAATTAACAGTCTGGCATTTGGTAGGATTTAGTTTAAGGCTGTTACACAAAGACCATTTGCTTATTCCCGATAAAAAGCTGTTCATCTTAGCGCAGTCAAGCTGGGAGTTGACAGACGTTGAAGTAGTTAGATCATCTACATACTTAACAATGTTCATTTCATCAGAGTGAGGCAAGTCATGCAAGAAGAAAGCAAACAGAAAAAGAGAAGGGACAGCGCCTTGAGGGACACCAGCCTCAGTAAGCAGTGAAGTCGACGACTTTCCCTGACATACAGTGTACTGCTCTCTTCATAAGAAATAAGAATGCAGCAATTTGACAACCCAACAGTCAGTCTGAGTTTCAGCATGCTTGTCTAACAAAATGTCCCTAGGTACTGAGTCGAAAGCAGATGTGTAATCTAGGAAGGTGCAGCGAACAAATTTAGCCCCCTTGTCTAAGCTGGAGACAATGTTATGGTACAAGACCAATTGCGTCTAAAGTACTTCTGCTCGAAATATTACCAATAACAAAACTTATCATTGTGTGTAAACTATTCAAATATAATTATACTTTATTTAATCTAATCCACAATGCTCAAACTTTTTACTGATATTAATACTTCTGCTCTGTTTATAAGCGAATTGTTTGAGATCGTTAAAGGCTTTAAGTGAAGGCTGAAAATTAAGTAAGAGTAATTTTTCCATAGCTTTTAGAAAAGGAAACATAATAGCAACAGGTCTAAATTTAAATCATGTTCCAGTAAACGACTTAGGGATAGGTACAATTTTGATGTCCTTCCAAACGGCTGGCACAACATTTCTGGAAAAAGATTTGTTAAATATGTCCATGAGAGGATAACACAGGATGTCTGCACATTTTTTAAGAATAACACTAGGCACACCGTCTGGGCCCAGGCTACAAGAAGGGTTCAGAGTCTGGAGACATTTTTGGACATCATTTGTACTGAACCAGGGAAGCAGGTTTCATTAACACTTGTAGCAGTAGAAAGTTCGGCATTTGTGGGAGAATATAAGAAAGACTTGTTTAGTGTGTAAACATCAAAGGAATAAGGAATACTATTCATCTGCTTACCACCATTAATTTCTTTGAAAAGTTTCCACATATTAGACGCATTTTTACAGGATATAAACTTTTGGTTGTAAATTGAATTCAACCTGTGCATTTCAGATTTTATTAGGATGTTAATTCTTTTCAAACCAGTATTGTCCTTCATTTTATATAGCTTTTCTTTTTGTCTGCGAAGCATTCTAAGTTGAGGGGAAGAGAAACGGTCAAATCTGAAGAGCGTTTCTCTGGGACAACAGGTGTCAAGACAAAATTTGAGATAACTTGTAATATTAGAGATTGTGTCATCAAGAGAGTCTTCATTAAACAGGTCCAACCTTGTGTCTTTGAGCATGCCCCTAAGATACTGAACATTCTCTTTAGAGTACAAACATTTACAGTTTTCTTGGTGAGGTGTGAAAAATTTCTTTTGTGTAACTTTCCATAAATTTTAGGTAAAACCCGTACAACACAATGATCTGAGTTAAAGAGTGGGGCTCTTTTACGAGCGGTCATTTATAAATACAAGATCAAGGGAATTATCCAGTCTGGTGGGAAAGTTGACGACGTTTTCATGATATTGCACTGTGAGAAAGCTGTACTCACATGAATTAAAATCACCTGTAACTATGAACAATGTGTTTCCAAAAGAGGAGGCAGCGAAAATAGTGAATTCATCAGCAAGCATAGACAGTTCTGAAATGCTACAGCAATATGTGACATAAATGTTTGTGATATAAATGAATTTGTATTTAGATAGGTGTTTAAGTCGACATTTGACAGTTATACAGTCAATATTATCATTTGAGAATTTAAAACAAATGTTGTTGGCAACAGACCACTGAGAATTGATAAAAGTAGCAACACTACCTCGCTTCTTCCTTGAACTACTTCGGTCTTATCTGTACATATTGAAACCATTCGGTAAGATTAAATTGTCATCATATGAATCTTGCAGCCGAGTTTCTTGAAGCGTTATTACACTTGTATTACGATAAATATTTGAACATAATAGAGCATCTAAGTAATTAATCTTTTTCGATAATGACCTGCGATTCGTGTTGAAAATCACAGGAACAGTCATCTGATGCATTGGAGTACACTTTAAGGATCTTTGCCACCAACCATGATGCTTTTTCTGAAGGTTTTTATATACTCGTAAATCATCAGGTTGAAAACATTTTAAATAATCGCAAGGGTAAGTAATACTAATTGGACACATAATTCAATAATTAAAACAAAATAAATCCAAGTAATCCGATGCAATATAAGTGACAGAAAAGTTTGGTAGCCCAAGGTTTAAGCAGGCTGCCGTTCATAACATAGTGCTAGGCATTTTCATCGTAAATGATTATTTCGTTACTAACCGATATTAACTAAATAATTACGGAGAACCTTGGATCAGTGTACATTTATTTGGTTCCCACCAAGAATCGAATCAAGGATCCCAAAGCTACAAGATAGGCGCATTAACAATTAGACAATTATTCTGAAAACGTAGACAACCTATAATAATATTGTGGATTTCCAAAAACACAGTGCTAAGTAAAATAATATAAAGTCAGTTAAGCTCTTCATAACCAAATGGGAAATCAAAGACAAATTCTATAACGATTCTTCTGATATCTGTATCTCAGCCTGTCAAATGTTACGCTCTGGTTCATACCAATCTTCAGGGAAAATTTCCATAATTATCTTTCCAAACGAACGATTTGCATTTCTGACCAGATTATTGGAAAATTCATTTCTAACTATCCAGTGGATTTTTTTAAGTATATTGTTACTTATTCGGATACTGATTTGCATTTTCTCCCAGAAGGGATTTCCCTAACACAGACTATATGTAAATAATGCACTCCAACAATATAAAACTCTCACTGGCAACTGAAAAATTAGTCAACATTTTTTTCAGAATAGAACCGCCCATAAAAACAGAAATTTAAGACACAGTCCAATTTATTAAAAAATTTTTCCAGAAATATACATTCTGCCCTCTTATTAAAATTAATGAGCGTCGCATAGAATTTCTGGAAATTCCCTGACTTTGTTATTGTATAACTTCCACTGAAGCTTCATATTTGACTTGAACCACAGGGCAGGAATAGTATAAGTTATAACTGCGCTGAACTGAATGTGACAACTTTGGTTTGCGCTACACCATAGCAGTATCGTGCTTAAAATTGATTAAGCGTTGGCATTCTGCTGTCATCAATTGTAAATTCATCTTCGGGTCTTGTCTCACGAGTGATAGACGTAGAATTCTTATGTCAGCATCTTCTGGGTTCGTGAAACCACAAATAAAAATCAAACACTTGAACTGATCTGGTGTCATTTCGTGTCGTTTGAACCTTTCACATTCCTTATTCACTTTACCAGCGTAAGTGGCTTAATCATCGGAAGACATTTTTGTCAACTGGAAACACTGATACCGAATATTAAACATGGATGACTGTTCAACGAAAATATGTGATTAAATGGTGACTGTTTCATATAAAGATAACTCACTTGGGTTCTTAGGCAAAATGAAGTGAAAATATCTGTTGTGCTCAACAGTACCAAGTTTTCGTACTGACAGTCGTACTTCGGCAGCATCATCAAACGTAGAGCATTCAGTACGGAAAACGTCTTCATAACGGTTGATCCATGCATCAAATACGAGATCAGGTATTGGGTCTTAATTGAACTAGCTGACTGAATTTGAAATGGTAGCATATTTGTCTGAGTGAGATGTTGGGCCAAGTTGAATGAAAGTACAATACATTCCTTGTAAAAGCATTTGCTTATAGATTTAATATAGAATATTGATTTTAGCAATGGAAGAGTACAACTTCTTGTCATCCATTGTGTTTTCGAATTAAAATCAGTATATGTGCTTAGTGGTTGTAGATTCAGAGCGTCTTCGGAAATAATAGCATCTTACGGCTAAGCGAATGAATTCGCCGAAAAGAGACTCTTTGCTGAACTTTATTGTTGGTATATTAATGTCCCAATATGTATCTTCCGTGAATATTTAGATTCGCTGATGAAAGTTGGGCAAATACTTAAAATGCTAGGTGCATTGTTCTCATAGATTTGACTCATAGCCTGACATCTGCAGACAAAAGCATATCAGGTCTAGGAATGCTCATGTTTTTCACATACCTTTTTCATATTATAGGATGATCGAATCCTGTAACGATATCTGATTTAGATTTCATGTGCACATTATTTTTAAGAATCACTTTATTGACAACACCAAGATTCCAGTACCACTCAGAATATTTAATCATATATGGAGCATGATATTAGATGGTTGGAGGCAATCGGCAGGAAGCTTTGGACCTAGGTTTCGTGATAGTCATAACTCTTCAGCAAGGCATGTCTGCAACCTTGAAGGAACTAATATCACTTCTGAGATTCAAACCCGCGTCACCAAATGCTGCAGTAAGAGATGTTACTGCTGAGCTATTCCGGCTCGCGATTGATCTCCTGTAGGACTGTTGTGGGTATTTTGATTGGACACTAGTAACTAGTGTGATGTGTCTAGTCCTTTTCTTGGTGCAGATTGAATTCTATCAGACCCTGTAAGAGGCCAGTCGCTAGCCCGAATAGCACAGTGATAACGTCTCCTACTGCAGCACCTGGTGACGCGGGTTTGGATCTCAGAAGGGATATGAGTTCTTTCAAGGTTGCAGACACACCTTGCTGACGAGTGCCAACTGGCACGAAACCCATGTATAAGACTTCCTGTCGATTTCCTCCAGCCATCTTATATCATTAAATTAATGTGCGCCATGATGATGAGCCGCCGAGAATGGTGGCGACATTGCAAACTTGACTGATGGAATTCAGTCTGTAGCAAAGATATGACTAGACACATTACACTAGTTACTAGTGTTCAATCAAAATATGTAACATGATATTTACAGCATCGTCCATCGGTTGCTATTTGCGAATACTTAAGTAGAAGTGGCTAAGATAATTTTTGTCATCATATGTTCCTGCTCTATTTATATCTACTTTTGCGGTTAATTAACAAACATGTGAACAAACTCAATTATAAATCATTCATTTGTTCTGTTTTTAAATCTATGAGCATAATTCATTCACAGTGGGAAAGAATACAGAAAATTTGTGTGAGCAGTTTTATTTACATTCCTCTGATCGAATTTTTTTATTTCGGAGCAGTTTGTTACACTGTTATGCTATTTATGCATATTATTATAATTATTTATTGATACAAAACATGAGAATACGTTTATACATTAAGGTTCATCTCTAGTATATATATATATACATCAAATCTCTGATAACCAACACTTTATAATTAATCTGACTCTCACTGGCCACCAGTTTTACACAGTAATTTACTTACGGCTCTACTGAGAAGTTGTAATCCGTGGAATCCAGTAAGTTAAGCAAGATGACAGTTATATGCCCGTGACAATGGCATAAGGTTGCGCTAAATACGGCGAAATAGCAGAAGATGTAATTCATGAACTATTGAGTTAGATCTCAGTGGCTGAGTCGTCTATGACCTTGCCTTGTAACCATAAAGTCCTTAATTTGACGTGTAGTGGACGTGCGCTGATGATGAGGCCCAAACCAGGACGAAATATATGTCCAGCATTTCCTAGTTTTCCAGTAGTTTTCTAACTGATGTCAGCTCAACGTCCATCATATAACCGATCGAATCCCTGCAGACCAACAATAAGAATCTGACTAGTAATTATTCAAATACTATGAAATTTCTAAATAGCATTTAGAAGTAGGTGTTGACTTGATATCTTAGAATTACTTATGTTTATTTGAAATCTGTTCAAAATTAAATATGAACGCATAATTCATTTCTCTGGGAGGGAATATGAACCAAAGGTGAAGATTAAAAACGTAATTAAATGAATGTAGGCTAAATACACATTCAAATAAAAGTTAAATCATCATCCTGATACATTTTCCCATATTTTCATCAATTATTCCATTAAGTGGATAAGTGTATTCCATAAACCACACACTGGCGCAGTATTTATAACTGGATAAAGTTTCAAGCATAAATTATTGCTCATAATCATATCAGCTTAGTCACACTGCTTCATAATTTGCCTTTATATACATATATATTCATCTCTTTCTACCTCTTATTGTTTGTTGCAACTTTTCGTATCTTCAGTTTAAGTGTTGCGTCATTTCAGCTTCACTTTTGCGTTGTAGTTTATCGATTTTTGTCTCTGTCACTATATGGAGACCCATGTTAATAGCTAATTTCGCTCGGCACTTTAAATAAGACTGTGCTTGCAGAACAAGTTAACATCAAAAACATCCGGAATTGAAACATTCAACGGCCCGTTGTCTAAACAACAGAGAAATGCAGAGAAACATGGCATAGGTTGAAGGAATATTCAAAGGACATGTGAGAGAAAATCCCAGAGGGGAACCTGAATGAGAAGTGATAAGTCGGACATCTAGGGGTGGTACTGCAGAGATTGTGTCAGGAAGAAGTGGAAGCTTGTGCGCAGTCATGCAAGGGAACAAAGTACACTGGAGATGTTCTTCTCATCACCTACGTTTCACCAGTGTTACAGCAGATAAATAATAAAAGTATAATATAATTGAATTTAAGATTTTCCAGTCGGCTGATTGGACCAAGGGTTCTGGATTCCATTGCTAGTCACCATCCAGAAAACCAATACTTGAAAATTATAATAGTAGCAAATTATGCACTATATCCAATTTTGAATGTTACCCTACATGATGCATTAAATAAAGCCAGTATTTTGAACACAATATAAGGAAGGTGAGTAGTGTCGCACAGCCTCTGAATATATAATATGAGCCGAACTATGTTAATAAACGCTGCTAACAGTTTGAGACAGTCACAGATTTCCAATGAACAACTTGAAAATCACTATGGAGATTTTTCAAGAGGCTATTCATAAATGGAAAAAAATACTGGACAGGAAGCTTACTAGTGGACGGAAATCAACAACAGTTACAGGATGTATGCAATGTGAATAAGTGGACTAATCTTTTTTGAAGCTTCTGTTTAGTTTTTTTGTTATTTACATTTGAATGATGTCCTTTTTTTCTTAATATTTTTATTTGTGTATAATGCAGATACAGCTACATCAAACATGTGAGAATTAATAATTTATGATAGACAGCTTTCAGTAATTTATTCAAATTTGTAAGGTGTAAGCAAATTGTAAACAGATTGTAAACAACGTTGGCTTTCTCACTAGTATC